TAGAAGCACGTGGAATATTATCAAGTTGATTGTTCAATGAGGCATCCTCTGCACCACTGGGATCACCAATCCTCTTCCTAGAAAGAGATAATTCTCCAATATGGACTCTAGAGTTTCTTCTGGTTTTGCTTAAATCAAAATCCAAGGAATGCATATCTGAATAACCAGTGCAGGTGACATCAGAATTCCACGACCAATTAGCCAAGTCAAAGAACAAAGATGTATCACTTGAATTTAAGGCATTGTTTTGCGATTGCACAACAAAATTTACATCATCTATCTTCGTAGAAGTCCCATCCAAAACACTTCCTACATGAAATGGTCCTTCACAATCAGAAGCCTTCCTTAAAGAATTAATATTCAAATCATTCTTGGAGAAGCTTAAAGAAGAAAAATGATTTTCCTTTAGCACGCCCATGTTATTGTGAGGATCAATCTTTTGATCAAACTCAATTTCATCTTCACAGCTACTTGAAGATTTACATCCGGAGGAATCATACATCTCCATGGGTGAATTATACATTTCCACTGCAACATCAGCTGCATCTGATGAACTAATAGAGTCATCATGATCTGTGTTGTCTTTTAACCTGAACCAGATAAATAGGAAACAGTTGATAAATTAAAAATGAGGAAAAATTAGTCAACAGCTTGAAAGATTAATAAAATGAGAAACACTGAACAAAAATGATTAGGCGACAGCCTCCACAGAGCCCTAAAATTAGAGCCAAAAAGCTCTGCATGTGTGCACGTCGGAGCAAAAGCATCTAGATGAACCCTTTAGATATCATTTTGCTTGATTGGAGCCTATTTTTGTTCTGGTTTAGCTCCTTTTGTTAGAAGTTTGTTTTTTGTATCCCTCTTGTTTTCTTTCATTTTCATTTTGTTCTCAATGAAAGTTTGGCACTATGCACTACATCAAAAAAATTAATAATAAAAACAAAAAACAGAAAAGAATCTACATGCAACTTGGAAGGACTTGTACGTCTATACCATGCAATGGACACACGCACTCTTAGAAGGAACCAACAGTATATGATATTACATTTTTGAGCTCTTGTCCACTTCTGGAACAAATAGGCTATTTCCTGATTTAACTGACAAAGGTGCACTTATTCCTCCTCCAACACGAGGAAAGATCAGAGATACTGCATCACCTGGAACCATCTGTTAAAGAAAGATATTCACAAGACTGATATAAAAACACAATCAGAACAAATTGTAGGGCAGCAAAACATATGATATGTTGGTAGAAAGTATAACAAAGAAATTGATGTAGGTTAGATATTTTGAAGCTTGTTTAACCTCGTGTTCCACAATCTACCGTGTTAAGAGGTTTATGAATAATTTTCAGGGTAATAAGGCATGAAAATGAGGAAAATAAATACACAACCCTTAAGTTATACCATGAACTACCTAGCGGCTCCAACTGATCCAACAAAAACCATGCTTTCCTCAACTCAAAATTTAGTCATTTATACAATTTTTTTAATAACTGGGGAATCAGAAGACCACTCCTTACATCATGATGCTTGTTGCCCACCACTCACTAATCCTCCAAGATGCATATTACAGCATTCAGATTACCTGCTCATATCTGAACTCTATTTTTGTCAGAAGATTATCAAGTTTTTTCTGCATCCTTTCATAGTAAACGTCCCTTGCAGAAACCCTGGCCTCAACATTTTCTTTGCTGAAAGAGATTACAGATTCATAGTACACATGATTACTAGAAAAGCCAGTCCAACAAGGAAGAAAATCATCGTAAGTACATTCTGCAGTGGCAACAGAAGTACCAAATTCAAGTAATTTCACTAGTACTTGAAGCTGCTGACCAGCTCTGAGAAGTGGAAGCAATAATTCCTTCATAAAACAAGGAACAGGGACTCCTTCTCTCTCCTACAGGGAATGATCCAGAACAATGAACGTCAAACTCAAATAAAGGAAACCACAATAGATGAGGAAACAAAACTGCTAACTGCTTCCAAATTAACAAAGAATAACAAATAATAAAACTACCCTTGTACATGCTAGTGGAAAACTGGAGATTCCAGCAGTATTGAGATTAGGAGTTTTAATGTCATCATATTCAACAACAAACTCTGCATAAGGGTCAACAACTTCGGCTTTGTATATCCATGATCTAATAAAGGCACAATATGGTTCACATGAGCGGAGGAACAGAAACTTGAGTACAGCGCAATGAGCAGGATCAGCAACCTAAGAAGGGTAGCGAAAGTTGTTATGTTTATTACAGGAGTCATAAGAAGATATGACACAATATAAACAAATTACTTCTTTGATATGAGGCAACGAAGGTTTATAGAACAAAATTATAAGGGATAAGGTAAGAAATCCAATCACAGGAAAATGCATATACCAACTAAGCATAGACATAAATATGTATATGAAGAAGCTTAAGTGACCACAAATTTAATGCATGCCCCCAAGTTGGTATCAACAGAAAACGAGTGGCAATGTCCCAAAAATATCTTAACTTTGCAAATGGATTCCCAAGAGATAGAGAAACACTGAAACCCAGTTCTTCCAAATATTTGAGGCACAAATTGAAGCACCTTCACCATTTCATTAAAATCAGATACCACTAAAAGATTCATCTACATTGCCTAAATAACAAACACAAGAAACCCAAGGTTGCCAAAACTAAAAGAAAACTTGCTTAAACCAAAGCATAAGAAAGGACAATGTGGCAATAACTCATAACGACCACCAACCAAAATTCTGCAAACACAAACAATACAGTAGTATGCAAGAAGACAAGCAATTCCCTTCATTACAGTCATTCATATTAACCTTATCAGAAGCTACCAACCAAGTGAAAAAAAACTCATCTTGGAAGGCTCTTATCAATTTTAGACTACACAAACAACCTCCCCCAACTGCAACCCCAGTCGTTCTCTTCACACTACAGATTTTGTTAAAGGATTCATTTTCTCTTGAAAATCCCCTGCGCCTGAGCCCCCGGGAATGGGCTCCCAACCATGTAAACATGGAGGTCTAAGCATCCATGTGATCATTGAGAGTCTTCCTCCAGCAAACCAATGAAGCAATTTCCCATTATCTGATCATTTTTCACCACTCCTGTCCAAAACAAAAAGATTCTTCCCTATAGGAAGTGCAGAGAACAAGGGACACCAGTAGCTGAAAGGATAAGACAATCAAGAAGCCTGGATAACCTTTTCTTTCTTAATCCCTTTTCAGTTATCTCCTGATATAAAGATTATTCTTAACCTTGAAGTAACTTAATTAGTACCAGAGGAAATATTCATGCACAACAAATTATTAGGACTCAATGAGAAAAACACATTACAAGTCAGACAAGGAAGATATTTCAGTTTACCGCACCTGGAGTTGTGTGTACAAATATGTTAGCAATGCTCCTCCCCAATAAAAGTTACAAAATTCAGAGGTCGCCTTATCAATGAGGTCTTGAAATGGTAACGATGAGAAGCCATTAGCTACATTTTGCAAGTTACATATGTTTCCAAGTACTTCAATCTGAATTCTCAATTCCCTTGTATGAAGGTACACCTCTAATAATGTTATGTCAGAATGCACCGCGCTCATAAGACATCCTTCCACTGATGATCCGTGAAAAGACGCATCAAACTCTTTTGGCGTTCTTCTCAAACCTACTGAGGCATGCAACGAATCTAATGCACACGTATAGCCTTCCAAAATCTTTCTCAGTGCAACTGCAAATGCCTGATTAACAAGACTCTTTCGGGAGCATTCTTTCCCTCTCACATTACTGCCATCGTTACTTTTGCATTTTTCGACCTTCCGTTGATAACTCTTATGATTAAACGCTTCATCCATACCCAATTCAGTAAAGTGGTCTACGAATTTATGAAGAAGGAAAACTAAAAACCCAACGCAGCCAATCGACCTGAGTATCTTTCCCAAAGCGTGCGTACTTGAAATGCGATTCCATAGAGATGGGATTTGATGGAATGTCCTGTCGGAAGGATCAGAACAAAAGGCAGCAGATAACTTTTCCACGCTGATAAGTGCTGACTCCAGCCCTTGCAGTGCGTTAATCGCCAATCTAACCAAGCTTGCCTCCTGAAACAAAAAAATCGTCGTTTCAATTGTTTTAGAACCGAGGATATCTTATTCTTCAAAGATCAACCCTTAAGCAATTTGATCCTCGGATGCTACAATATTCAGATATACCAACAGAACGACAATGCGGAACCTTAAGAATACAAAGTACAATCGATAAGAGTGAGAAACAAACTAGCAGATTGTAATTCTAAAAAACGAGGGATAAATGTAAAGAACAGGAACAAGAGAACTTACGGAGACTGAAGACGAAGAGACGCCATTACTACCACGAGAAGGGAGCTGAGATTGTTGGGTTTGTGAAGGGATGGATTCCCAAGTTCTAGGAGGAAGCCAAGGATCTTCCACCTTCAAACTCTCAAGCATAGATTGGAAATTCAAATTGGTGTCGACCGCCATAGTTTCTACTTCAATGCTAAAATACCGCCATAAATTTGATCATTTCAGAATTGCTTCATGGGAATGAAGGAAAGCTGGTGAGTAGAATCCATGGCAGAAATTAGCAAACCACTGCAAGCTGTTTGGATTCGAGGGTGAAGCGCGACCTCCCTCCCTCCAAATTTTTCGAGTTATTTTCACAAATAGCCCTTTTTACTTTATTTAATATAAAAATAACCTCCTTTTAGTAATTTTGATAATTTTGAGTTTTGATACCTCAAATGACTAACATACCCTTTGCCTCCGCCGCTTTTAGTAGATATTCGCGGCTTAAAGAATATGTTGAGTTAATTTAATATGGGTAAATTAGACATTTCGATACCCGGTTAATTGATCACAGAACTAATATTGTCTTATTATTGAAAATTGATTTTTTTTCATTTTAAATAATATTTAAGAAAACAAAAATCAATGAAAAAAAAAAAAAAAAACATTTCATATGATAGGAAAATTGGACAAAATACCCATAAAAATAATAATATCTTACGTTAAAAAGTTTTAGACTTCGATTTAGCGTAAATATATATCAATTGCCACTAAACTAAGCCCGATTTTGACTATAATTTTCATTCCTAAATATTTATAAACTAAAAAAACCTAAATTGTGTCGTACTTATATGTCAACCTATATATTAATCGAATAAATGTCAATTATTATCGAGCTAAGCTCGGTTTGACTCGATTCTTCGTTCCTACATATTTCTAAACTAAAATTTGATCGTACCTGTATGTCAACCCAGACATTAGATTTGCGTCGATTTTTTAGTTCAACAATATTTAGGGTTGAAATAATCAAACATCTTCCCTCTTAATAAAAAATACCATGTCAATTGTCACTGGGTTAACTTTGATTAGAAGCAAATCTCAAAAAATAACCCTAAATTGAGTCGTACATATATGTCAAACAAGATATTAGATGCATTGACCAAAGGTTCGTGCCTTCATTTTAAACATATGATCTCGTAGTTAAAAACACGTCGGCTATCACCCAGCTAAGCTCGATTTGACTGGAGAACCATTTGAATCAAACGAAATGTTTGTAATTATAAATATACAATTTAAGGAAGATTCAAAGCTTAATGGCGAATTAATAAACAAAAAGATGCCCATCTTAGGTTATTATATTCCATTGAATGTTACTTGAGATTAGAAAAGAAGGCATATACACCAAGGAAGCTAAAGAACCTTGAGCTTCCCCCACAGCAAGAAATATGTTGAAGCCCTTTTTGACGCTCATAAGCAACCTCTCGTTGCGTCCTCCTCTCTCTATAAAGCCAAAACTAAACCCTAACCCTTTCTTCCACTTCCATTCAGCTAACACATTGATCCAATTTGGAACCAAATGGCTCCTAAAAACCAGCCCACTTATGAAGATTTTGAACCTCTGGTTGAAGCTTCTGAAGAGGATGGCTGCAGCATTCTCTCCCTACACATTCCTGGTTTGTCCATTTCTTTAACGATAATGGGTTGTCTCGTATGGAGAACTTATTGCTCGGTTTGATAGCTATTTGGTTCTTAATTTAGGGTTTGAGAATGTAACTCGTGAACTGTGAGTTCTCATATTGGTTAGAGAAGGAAACAAAACGTTTTTTATAAGGGTGTGAAAACCTCTCCCTGATAGATACGTTTTAAAATCATAAGGCTGATGGTCATATTGTCTGCTTTGTCCCGTTACGTATCGTCATTTGCCTTACGATTTTAAAACGCGTCCGTTTAGGAGAGGTTTCCACACCCTTATAAAGAATACATATGTTCCCCTATCCAACAAATGTGAGATTTTTGTAAGGGTATAGAAACTTCTCTCCATCATACGCGTTTTAAAACCCTGAGCTGACGGTGATATTGTCTGCTTTTGCCCTTTGCATATTGCCATCAGCCTCGATTTTAAAAACAAGTCTGTTTGAGAGAGTTTCTACACCCTTATAAAGAATAAATCGTTTCTATCTTCAACTTATGTGGGATCTTTAGAAGGGTGTAGAAACCTCTATTTAGCAGACGCGTTTTAAAATCGTGAAGCTGACAGCGATATTGTCCGCTTTGGTCAGTTACGTATTACCGTCAGCTTCACGGTTTTAAAACATATCTGCCAAAAAGAGGTTTTCACACCCTTGTAAAGAATATATCGTTCCCTTCTCCAACCGATGTGAGATCTTTATAAGGATGTAGAAATCTCTCCCTAGCAAACGCGTTTTAAAACCGATGAGGGCGACAGTGATATTGTCCGCTTTGGCCCGTTACATATCATCGTAAGTCTCACAGTTTTAAAATGTGTTTGCTAAGAAGAGGTTTTCACACTCTTAAAACATGAGGTTGACGGTGATATTGTTCTCTTTAGCTCGTTACATGTAGCTGTTAGCCTCGCAGTTTTAAAACTTATATGTTACGTTTATCTCTCCAACTAATATAGGATCTCATATTAACATTTTCACTGAGAATCTAGTAGCTTAATATATCCTCTTATGCACTACAGGTTTCCGCAAAGAGCAAATTCGGGTTCAGGTATCCTCCACAAGAAAGCTGAGAATCTCCGGCGAGCGGCCTTACCGGAACAAGACATGGCAGCGTTTCCACAAGGAGTTTGAAATCCCATCAAACTGCACCACCTCTAAAATTACAGCCAAGTACAAGGACGGCATCCTCCATGTCCGTCAGCCATTGCAGCCACAGGACGTGTCGGAGCCGCCACGCTCGGCAGCTCCCAACCCACCGCCACCGCCGCAGCAGCAGAAAAATGGCCAGCAACAAGCTGAGGATCCAGAGAAGAAGAGCAGCCCAGCCACCAATGGAAAGGCGAAAGCCAAAAGCAGTAGAGAAAGAGAAGGAAGTAGTTGTAATGGTGACAAGATTACCAGTCGAGCTGGGCGGCTGAAGGAGGTGGCTCCTGGATTGTTGGGGAAGTTTGTTTTGACTGTTTTGGCGGCTGTGTTGCTTTTCCTGTTGGCTAAGAGGTTGGATCAGAACATGGCTGGTGGAGCTGAATCTCGGCTGTGAATCGTGTAATAATGGTGGCTGGTTTTGAAAATTTCCACAATAAATAATAAAACAACGCTTCCTTAATCTTTACTATAATTTTATCACGTCTGTTGAAATCATTTACTTTTTTTTTTAAATTGTGTTGAAAGAATTTAATATATAAAATAAAGGCAAAATTCGGATAGTAAAATCACAAAGTCATTTTATTAATTTTATTAAATAATGAATCAAATTCGATTTTTTTAATCATTTATTTTAAAATTTTATTTATAATGAAAAGTAAAACATTTAAAAGAAATTTATTTATTTATTTTGAAACGTTAAATTACGATTTATAAATTAACTTAAACAATTGAAAAAAAAAATTATAGAATTAAATAAAATTATTATTATTATATATTTTTTATTATAAACTATAAAATAGTTTAAAATTTTAAAATCTAACGGTTAAAAGTAACTGATAGCGGTGAAAATTAGTATCAGTAAGCTGAGAATGTATGAGTAGGAATAAGTTAGCACTCTCAATTAATATATATATATATATTTAATAAAAAAAAAAACCATGTAAAAGTACCAAATGGGCCTCACGGAACTCCAAAAAGTTCGCATCAACATCGAGGGTATTTTCGATAATAAAAGTCATTCCCTGGAATACGAGGTGGGTGGAAATTATAAATACCCGAAAGGCGTTAGGGTTGCGCATTCTACTCTTCTTCCGCCCCCAATATATTGCTCTCTCTCTCTCTCTCTCTCTCCCTCTGTTTTCTTGCCCTTAGCGTTTTGCAGAAGCTTTGGTTTCTCGACGCTACCTCAATGCTGCATTGTTCTCACTGTCTCATACACTGCGAAGCCGATCGCTTCGATGACTTTGTGTGAGAATCCTCCTCGATCTTCTTCGCTTTTCTGTCCCGCTGTGTTTATATGCATATACTCTCCGTTATTGTTCGCGTTGTTTTTTGTTTTTTTATCGTAATTTATTGTTCCGATTGCTACTTCTTTTATTCTGCTCTTTCGATCCAGTAATTCGACCTTTTTTCTTGTTGATTCTTTTTGTTAGAATTTGATTTCTGTGTTTTTTCTTGTCTCTCGGTTGAAATCGATTCGTTGTTTCTTATGGTTTTAGCACCGATTGACAGATGTTGTTCGGGCTGCGGTAAGGTGCTTGGCCAGTTCTTTGGAGGAAAATACATTGATCATAGCAAACCTATGCTCGGAAAGGACACGAAATTGAAGAAGAGGAAGACCGAGAAGAAGCAGAAACATGAGAAGATTGAGATGGATTCCGCGGATCTGCAACTCGCAACATGATTTTTTTCATGGAAGTTTTGACTAATAACGACTTAAAACTCAACAATTATTTGAATCATCACCAAAAAATTTTAAAGGAACCATTATTCTGAGACATTGATCCTCTGACGTTTTCGAGTTCCAGTTTGTTGCCCTATTTTGTTCGCAATCAATAATGGCCCTCTCCTGGTAATTGGAATAAGTTCTTTACAATAATTCATATTCATAATATTTATCAAAACTCAATTGAACTTTCATTAGAATAAAAATCAACGAATCACATACTGAAAACCATTGCTCTCCCTCCAATGGAAGGAGAAGCAAAAGCAAAAGCAGAGAGGAATTTTTTCTTGTTGTTAATGAAAACAAGCCGATACGAAACCTCATAAATGTAAAGCAAAATCAAATTAAAAGGTTGAGCACGCGACATCAATTCCTCCCCATTTATTAGTTGCAAATGTAATGATTTTAGTTTTTTTTTTTTATTCAATGTATGGTAATTTCTAAGAACAACACGCAAATTAATTAGAAAATAATTACTATTTCAGTCAACTATTAAAATAGAGGCTATAGGCGTGGTAGGAAGATTTTTGTAGGAAAATTTTAGGTTTATTTTGTTAAGATGAGTGGATAAATATGAAAATTATAAAAATTATTTTTAAAAGTTTATAAATATTTTTTTAATTATGATATGGAATGTATATATATTTTATAAATTTAAGGTTAGTATTAGAAAATTATAAAATTTTAATGGTATTTTTTTATTTAAAAAAAGAAAATATTAAATAAGTTAAAACTATTATTTTTCGAGATAAAATGTAATATTCTTAAAAAATGAAAATAATGGTTGCGAGATAAAAGCAAACGTGGATTATCCGCAAAATGCATTAAATGTTGTCCACAAACACGATGACGATCACGGTCACGATCACTCAGCCGAACACTCAAGAGCAAGCCTCCTGAAATCGTTGCAGAATTCTCGCAGCCTGCCATGGAGTTCACAGTCCATTCCATTTCCCGCCCCAACCTCCCTCTCCCTCTTTCCTTCTCCCTTCATTCATCTTCCCCTTCCAATTCCCTAACTCCATACCCACACACAAGAACCAAATCAACTGCCTCCATCCTTCCGCCATTGTTGCTGCGTTCTGATCTCAATCTCACCTTCAAATCAAGGGGACGATCACTTCTTCAACCTCTACGAGCTTTCCAGTCTGAATTCGAGCCTCAATCTTCTTCTGTCCGCTGGCTTCTCGTTCCCGTTGGTCAGTGCATTCTGAATCTCTACCATTGTTCTGTTCGATTGTATCTTATATTTGATTTGAAGATTTCGTGATTTCTTCACAGGCGATGGCGATTGGAAGCATATCGGTTCCAAAGTTGAAATGCCTGATGCGTTTGAAATTGTCTCGGTCAGTACTTTTCATTGAGGCTCTTCAGCCCTTGCGAGTCTCTATTGTGTGATATTCGAGCTCGTTTTAACTCTTTTTGGCTGTCGAAACTCATCATCTTAATGCAGAATGAGATCACTGTTGGGCGCCTTCCCGAGAAAGCTGACATTGCAATTCCAGTTGCTACAGGTGATTTTACTCCAAATATCTGTCGCTACTTGTTTGATTTGATGATTTCAATTCAGTTGCTACAGATCTGACAGTTTCAAGTTTTCCTATGAGTTTTTGGAATGTAGAACTTGTGGATTGTATTGTGCCACTAACTTCAATGCGGTTTTCTGAAATGAAAACAGTTTCTGCTGTACATGCTCGCATCAAAAAGCAAGAAGACAGGCTTTTAGTCATAGATCTAGACAGCACAAATGGGACTTTTATTGATGATAAGAGACTCAAGCCTGGAGTTGTTGCTGCTGTATCATCTGGGAATTGCATTTCTTTTGGTAACTTGCCCCCTCAAACTCAATCCAAATTTAATTGTTAGGCTGGTTGGATCACCTCACACTTTCTTATAACAGATTTCATATTTCTCAAGTAGACATTTAAGTTCTTAACTTGAAGCGTGAAAACTAGAATATATATATATATATATATATATATATATATCTAAAAAAGAGATATCTATAGATTGAAGTAGTGTTTATTAGTTTATATTGCAAAACCAAATGGTCATGAGGCTTAAAAATTTCTTTGAAGGTGAAGGATCTCATTTGTTGTTTTTCGGTTTTGGTTTGGTGAATGCATTTGGTTATGATTATTAGACCATTAAAATCATTGTAGGGTATTTGAGAGAGTTAGTCGTCTAAGCTCACCGCTAGTAAATATTTGTCCATTTTGACCCGTTAAGTATCGTTGTCGGGCTCACAATTTTAAATGCGTTTACTAAGGGGAGATTTCTACCCCATTATAAGAAATGTTTCATATCCCTCTCCAACCAACGTGCGACCTCTCATAATTGGACTCGAAATTCATTATAATCACTACTCAAATCCTACCACTTAGACTCATCCTCTTTGTAAGGCTAAACAAGAGAACCTCTTAGAAAATACTGTGACTTGTGTCTGAACATTATTATTCGCTTGAATTCATGAATTGGGTGGCTATACATTGAGTTTCTTCTGTATTTTGTTTTGTGGTACAACTCGGCTTGCATAGTGTAAATAACTTTAAAATTTTACATCATTTACTTGGCAGTCAGCTTTGTTGGAGGATGAAAATTTCACGTTGGCTAATTTAGGGAATGATGATGGGTTTATAAGTGAGGAATACTAACTCCATTGGTATGAGGTCTTTTGGAGAAACCCAAAGCAAAGCCATGAGAGTTTATGCTCAAAGTGGACAATATCATACCATTGTGGAGAGTGGTGTTCATCTAACATGGTATTAGAACCATCCCCTAAACTTAGTCGTGCCAATAGATTGGTAAATCCTCAAATGTTGAACAAAGGACTCCAAAAGAAAAAGAGTTGAGCCTCCTCGAAGGCATAGTAAAAAATGACTAAGACTCCAAAAGAAAAAGGAGCGAGTCTCGATTAAAGGGAGGCGTACTTTGTTCGAGGGGAGGGGTTGGATGATGAAAGTCCCACATTAGCTATAGGGAATGATAATGAGTTTATAAGTGAGGAATACTAACTCTAGGGTACGAGGCCTTTTGGGGAAGTTCTAAGTAAAGTCATGAGAGCTTAGGCTTAAATTAGACAATATCATACTATTATAGAGAGTCGTGTTAATCTAAGAAGCTTAATTGATTAACTTTGGGATGTCTCTTTTGTTGACAGGGGACATCCATCTGGCCATGTTTCAGGTGTCAAAGTTAAAGACTGATAAAGCTGCTAGCAAAATCCAAGAATCTGAGGACTCAATCGGTAACTCGGAAACAAGTTGAAAAAATGGTACATTTACATGTCTTCTAAGAGCAAATATGTGCAAAATTCTGCACATTCTGTATCGTAACAGTAATCTTTGCATGAAATTTTTCATATGAGTTGAAGAATATTGAAGAGCCAACGAGTCATCTGATCTCACTGTTTGTGTTTGTTTTTCTTAAGGCCATTTTAGAATACATCCATTTGATCCAAGCTATATCTATCTATACCCTTTAAAAGGGTCAAATATGATATGACATTAGCTTAAGATTCAATTCAAGTCCGGATTTAAAATTTGGCCCCCACATCTTTATAACGACCGCTAGGTTATCCCTACAAATAAATATTAGGGTTGTTTTAGTATATTTTGTTCTCACTCATGTGCTTAATACAATAATTCTTAAGAAGTTACCCAAAGCAGAATTTCTTAAACTACACATGCTCGACTTTTGAAGGATTGAGTTATCTTAAGAAGTCACACATGCTCTAATCTAAAAAATTGTATAGTTGATTTTTATGGTATCAAAAACAATTTAGAAATTAGCAAGTTTAGGGGTTTCATTAAATAATTTTTTTTTATTATAATAAATTAATAAGTCGAGAATGTAATATAACATTCATCTTAATATATATATATATATATGTATATGTATGTATGTATGTATGTCTTTATTTACTATAATAAGTTCATTGTCACCATTAAAATTCGCGCGAGGGCTGGGCGCGAGAGCGGTGGAAGGAATCGAGCACGTAGCGGCGTAGCAGGGGTATGAACTTGTGCGATATCAATGTTTTTTCCGAAGTCGAGGGCGAGATTTGAAGGGAACATGATTTTCATACCAATGACATAGCGATGGATGAGATGAGCGTGCTACCTGTTTTTGCTCTGTTCATACGAGTGAAATTGAAGTTTATTCGAGTTAAATTACATGGAAAATTGGATCTGAATCTGCAGTCATTTCACCAAGTCTCCAATGGTGGACGGACGGCAGAAGTTGGAGAATGGCCGATCGCGCCAAGCAGAATTCGCAAGCAACGAATTCACAGCCCCCGTCGGATTGTACAGATCCCACCACACATGCCTCCGTACTCGGCCGCACGCAATCTCCTTCGCCACACATCCTATGCTCGCATTGTATGATCCAAGTCCACAACACGCACTCCTCGACTCCTCAAATCCTAAAAATTCATCATCTCAAATCAAATCTCGTTGTTCTTCATCCAAATCCACACAAATCTCAGAATCGAGTAATCCATACCGTATCGCCTCGGGTTGCTAATGATCTCCATCATTCCTTTGTACGCGTCGCAGAAAACCATTCGAGCATCACCAAGCTGTGCGTTCAGCATCACGATCTGCTTCTCCATCAGTTCATTGTAATTCACAACCAACTCATTCATCTCTTTCACACATCCTTGCTCGTCATATACAGCCGCAGGGGAATCACGCCATTGAGATAGAACTCGAGGAGTACATCCCAATGGCAGTATTCCCATGCATACGATCTTCTTCGCCCCTGCTTCGTGGAGATTTCGTATAGCGACCGACATTTGTGAGGCCAGCAGCTGAGCAAATTTCACGTTGTTTTTGCCTCTGGATGAGTCGAGAATGAAATCGACCTCGCCAAATGAGAAGTAGAAAAGGGAAGATTGGATGAAATGGCGAGCAGTGTCTAGTCCGAGTTGTAGGCGCAAGAGCTGCAGGGTGTCGAGTACTTGGCGTAGCTGTTGGTTGAGAGATTGATGGCTTTGGCCGCCGCTCACGATCGTTGCCTGTGGGGACCCAAAGCTGAGGCCATTTAGGATCGCTTCAATGGAACCATTCTGATTGTACCAAGGTTGGGAGTGAGGAACGCCCATCTTCTCAGCTGCAAGAATAAGGTACATTTTCATTAATGTTTTATTAAAAGTAAAAGAGTAATATAGTTGTATGAGTTTTCCTTTTCGGACTTCCTCTTCAGGCTTTAAAACACGGGGAAGGTTTCCACGGGACCAGCGTTCTTACTGGCGCCTCGTATTACCCTTTTGGGGAACAGCGAGAAGGCTGGCACACATCATATGGTGTCTGGCTCTGAAACAATTTGTAACGATCTAGATCCACTCACTGCTATCAGATATTGTCCTATTTGAACTTTTCCTTTTGGATTTTTGTTCAAGGCTTTAAAACCGTCTATTAGGATAAGGTTTTCATAATCAAGAGTGTTTTGTTCCCTTTCAGAACCAGAGAAGTGTAAAAAGTTATTTTTTAAATAAACTAAACCGTTGAGGTGTATTTTCTTTTTTTATAATTAAGTCTATAAATTATTAAATGTCCAAATGGTTTGGAAAAGGGATAGTAAAGGGAGAGTGAAAGAGATTTTTTTTTTTCTTTTTTTATAATTAAGTGGGTAAATTATTAAATGTCTAAACAGTTGGAAAAATGGACAGAGATATGAAAAGATAAAATGGATAAAGCTGCAACTTTATTATTGTTTTATGACTCAATGTCAAAGGGCTGGGCAATTACACTAGATTGGAATTTTGTTTGAATATTTGAATCATATCTCCTAAAATATCCTAAAATATGTTTGAATATTTGAATCATATCTCCTAAAATCTCTTAAATTCTGTTTGAATATTTGAATCATATCTCATAAAGTCTCTACACAATTCACCCTCTTGGGACTAACACTCCCACTGACACACCATTCAAAACCTAGCCCTGATATCATTTGTAATACTGTTATACACAATCCATCCTCTTGGGACTCAGTGACTCTCCATTTGTAATACTATTAGTAAATATTGATCTTTTAGACTTTTTCTTCCTTACTTTCATGTGTTAGGGAGAAGTTTCCACACCTTTGCAAGAAAGGTTTTGTTCCCCTTTCCAGCCAAGGTGGGATCTCACAACCTTATAGATTATTAAATATTCCAAACGTACCTTTGGAGATTTATTAATTAATTTTTATAATTTAGCTTATAGATTATTAAATGCTTCAAATCGATTTGTGAGAGAGTCGGAAACATAATTCAAAGACTGAATAGCCAAGCAAGAGAGTACTGACCAAGGAGATGAGGAAGAAGGGTGGTGCCATCGGAGTCGCAAGGAGTAATGGAGAAATTGCGATGGAGAAGAGGGTAAAACAGAGCGTTTAAGCCGCAATCCACAGAAGAATCTCCCAACAAGTACATGGCAGTAATGCTGGATCCTCGAGCTGCAAGACTTAGCCCCAACAGACCAATCAGTGTCACATAAGCAGTGAAGAACAAAGACTTGAATAAGGCTGCGCGTCTGAGCTCCATTGCCACACCTAAAGTCATGTGATTGAACCCGAGAGCAAGTTTCTTTATGACTCTACAGCAACGAGTAATCGACATGTTCTTAAAAAAAACAGTGATAGGATAGGGGTTGGTGTTTAGGTAGGAATTGGATGGGAAATGCATTTTGTTCTTTATAATACGTGCTTTTAAGCTAAGTAATTATTTTCATACGATTTTAATATTGAAATATTGATTTTAGAGATTTTTCGATGATTGAAGTATATGTTTTGAGGGTGACTTTATAATACGTGCTTTTAAGCTAAGTAATTTAATTAAATTTTGTTTTGTAATGTCTATATCATATGCAAATAAATATAGCAATATGGTCAAATCAAACTATAATTCAAAGACGCTCATAGGAAAAGAACATTAAACAAACTCGACAATTTCAAAACATGGACTAGGAACATTCTCTATACTCACTTAGCTAGCCGTAAGAAAAGAAAAGAAAACTCACCCCTTCTCTACCTCATGTTCTTATGGGAAAAGTAACTTCAACCTATAAACTTATTTATTTCGAGTTCTACTCATGAACACCTCTACTTCCTACCTCATGTTCTTATGGGAAAAGTAATTTCAACCTATAAACTTATTTATTTCGAGTTCTACTCATGAACACCTCTACTTCCTAAGCCCACCGATGGTAACAGATGCAAATCCATCCAAGTTCATGCAAAGATAATTGAAGTTGATAACCATGACTATCTCTAAGGTCTAGTTAGAATCAGTCACTTTCTCAAGCTAACAACAAATTATGGTGTTTTCTATTACCTACGTCTACCAACAAATTATGTGATGCTGTAAAAATAATCAGCACCATCCAAAAAACTTACACATGCATGCATACTCCAAGCCTGAAATCAGATTATTTGAGCAAAGATTCTTTGAGCTTTCGTCTTTTTGAGGTTTTCTATAACGACTACGACATGTAAATAAAGCAACATGGACGAGCTGAAGGTACAACGAAAGCTTATCGAAAGGGAATCGAAGAATCAGCAATTAGCCAGTGTTTGAAATTGAGATAAATATGACTGCAAATTCAAGTTGATGACATAGATGACCAAATGATTCTATCACCTAAGCTTTGAGCTTCCCGCTCACCCCGCGTTTGTTGTGCCAAACACTAACATTATCGCTGTTCATTAGTTTTTTCTTTGCTGCAACCGAGCACCGATCACTCCGACCACGACCACCACCACCACCACCACCAGGACCACCACCACCACCTTTTGTGTTCATTTCTATTTGAAGCCTACGCCGTCTCATTCTATTCTCTAACCTAATCCCTCTTAGTGCACGAGCCCTCCGTTCGGTTTCCAGAGCCTGCGAGAAGTTCCAGATCCTCACAACACCTTCCTCTCCTCCACAAACAATACGATCCAAACCAATGTCCACACCGAACAAATTGCTCCCAAATCCATGCAACATTCTCTGAGGAGGCTCCACACCAATACTCCTACCAACATGCTGCCCTGCAGAATCTCTCTTCCACAGAGTTCTTTTCCTTGTCCTAAGCAGTGCTCTCACGTCGATCAACGAGAGTTTCCCATCACTTGACGCTGAAACCAGCCATGGAAACTCAAATGCTAGTGAATAAACTGGTCCTGAATGAGGAATCCATGATCCAACAAGTTGAGCGCTTGTATCAACATGTCGATTAGTAACGTCAAACATGTGAATTGCACCGTCTTCCCCTCCAGTAAATAGGAAATCCCCTGTATGGCTTCGTGACAGAGCATAAGCCTTGCCAACATGAGCATCATGGATGACAGTAGCCAACTCCCCACTGTTAGTATCCCAGACATATACATCTGAGCCTGATGTGCTAGCAATAGTAGTATCATGAGGGACTAGTCCCCAAACCCAGTCACCATGCCTCAAAATCCTTAAGCACTTCTGTGAAAAACGATCCCATACTCGAACAGTCATGTCCCAAGAACCACTATAAATCCTTGTTAGGTCCAGAGCAAGAGTGGTTATGGGTCCTTCATGCTCCCAAAGCCGAAACTCGGTATTGTGATTTTGAGGGCCTTTCACATCGAACAAGTGTGGAAGCCCTTCTATCGCCTTCCAACAATGGATAAAACCATCGGTGCCTCCAGCAACCAGTAGTTTTGTATCGGCCGCAAGTGCACGAACGGTGCAACCGAGTGATCGTGATGAAGCAATGGACAATCCTTCTTCCAAGTCCCAGATTCTCACAATTGAGTCATATCCAGAAGTAAATATAAGTTTTGCAGAAACCAGAAGAAAAACCGTACGAACTGCTTCAGTGTGACCATGCAAAACCTCCATACTATATCGTCCCATAAAAGTTTTACTCCTAAACTCCCTCTCCACAAAAATATCTTTCCATGACTTCTCATCAGAAAATCCAGTAGCAGCCACCGGTGCCGGTAGAGCTGGAATTGGAAGTCCCCATCTTTCATTGTAGAATTCCTTCCATACATGGTGCTCAGATGCTAACCTATGAAGAATCGTCGACACACAAGATACAATGCCAAGCTCCTTCGGATCAAGGCAGTTCAGAATCTCAGATATAATTGCAGGAGGAAGGTCGGTAATTGACCGACAACCCAAGGGAACATTTCTACAGCCTAACTGCTTCGAGCTGAGTGAAGTAGTATCTCCCTTCTCCAAGTCAAATTCCGATTTCTCAGATTCAATTCCCGCTGATTTTCCTTTGAGCTTGAAATAACTCGATCCACCCGTTGGTTTCTCACAAGAATTTTTCACAATAACTCTTGAATCCTTACAAAACCCGGCAGACTTCTGGCATTCAAATGCCATAAAATACATCCAACCCTAAGACTAGAAGAAACGAATAGAACTTGAAAATTCAAGCACGATGATTCCAGCAGCTATAGATACCAAATTCGGAAAAAATTTCAAACCCAAAATCGAGAACTAAGAAAGAAAAAAAAAAACAAAACCCTAAGAAAATAAAAAGACCCTACGAGCGAACCTGAAACGCCGAACGAAGAAGAAATGGGAGGAAACCAACAAGGATCAAGCAGCAAAAAATAAAGAGAGACAAAATTGGTAGAGGAATTGAAGCAAATAGAAACTAGAGAAGATCCTAATTCAAAAAAAAAAAAAAAAAAAAAAAAAAAAAAAAAATCCCAAAACCAGGGTTACACGAAATCGAAGAACATCGGTTAGAGAGATTGGGCATAAACGATACCTGGAAGAGAAAAGATGCAGCAGATGATCCTTGTTGGAGAAAGAAAAGAGGGAATTGAGATTACTTGGGGATCTAGGGATTTGCCGAGGGGAATGACGAAGGGGAGGAGAGAGAGAGATAGTGCCCTAGAGAGAGAGAATGAAAAACATTAAACAAACAAGGAACGTACACCGCTGAAGAGAATAGAGAGATTTGCTTGATGAGAAAGAGAGGCCGATGTGGGAACGTGCGGTTACCCTTACCGGTCGATCTTAGGTTTTCCCACGAAATTCATGTAAATTAATTATTTCAATAATAATTATATTTTATTTTCTGATTTAATCAAATTTAATAAATACTTTTATGATTTTCGTAAAATTCTAATAAATAATCTAGTCAATAATTAGTTTTTTTACTAAAAAAAATATTTTATTATTAGGAATTAAAATAATTTTTTAGAATTTTTTTATATTTTATTTAACCCCATAATTTTAAATTAACATTTTCGAAACTTAATAATAAATAAATTAGTTGGGTGTGTATTTTAAATTTTGTGCGTAATAAATTAGTAATTTATTAATTAAATAAGGGTAAAATAAAAACTCTCAAGTTTAAAATTAATACTTTTTAACCGTTAAAGTTAGAAATTAAATTAGTTGACTGGTCAAATGACGTGGCTTCAGTGAGTTGGCAAATTTTTTAATGAAGTGTAATTTTTTTTTTATCACGTGGCATTCTTTTTTTTTTTTTAATGAAAATTTGTGTCGAATTGGTTAATTAAAAAGGGAGAAAATAAAACAAACAAAAAAAATTTAATTTACACTTCATTAATAAGAAGAATTATGACGTGTAAAATAATCGGTGTTTTATTATTTATTTATTTTTAATGAAAATGACTACTGCAGTTGAAACATGTTGGAACTTATAAAAATGTTTATAAAATCTATAATTTTTTTAATTATTTATTTTTGCTCAATTTATTGCGGATAAATTAGACCTTTTAGGCTAATCGAGTAATATTATTAATAAATATCGGTTACAGTCTCTTATATTCTTTTGATGAAAATAAGGTTTCAAATCCTGAACCCTGCCAAAAATTGAATGAAATAATGCACTTGAATATGACATCAACGATAAAATTAGTTCAGAAAATAAGGAACGTGGCTTACAAAATAAGAGAAATTTGTCCATTAGTACAATGCTCGTCATACTGGTTACATTGCACGAGTTAGTTACGAGGAAATTAGCTCGACAATTATTATACTAATATGTGCCTCGTAAAATTTTTGTTGACCTTTTACGGATTAAGTAAAGAGAGAATCGTACTCAATTATAATAGGATCACATCGACCAAAGACACGTACGAGAATGAGAATGAGTATTAAAGTTGAAAAGTTGTAATTTAATAAATGGGAGATGTCGAAAAGGGTAAGAGAAATGTTATCAATTTTCATTCTCGTGTCAACAATTTCACCTATTCCTGACTTCAACATCGACATAAAAAATAGACGGCTATTTTTGATTTATGGTAAAAAAAAAACTATGAAAAAAATAAAACTAAAGCGTTTAATTTTTTAAGTGTAAATTATTTATTTATTGATTTAAAATTTTTGTAATATTGATGAAAATCGACATTTTATGGATATTTTATAAATTTTATAAATAATAATAATAAATAAACAAATAAATAAATAAATAATCCTCCGTTTACAACGGGACTGTGCAGCTGGGTCGCAGCCCTTTGTGTTGTTGTCTGCCCTTTCTGCCCTCGCTATATAAATTCACGTTCTTCCGCCAAGCTCCCCACTCCCTCTCTCTCCAACATCTTTCTCTCCTCTCCGTTTCAGAGCCCCCACTGTCTGCTTTGCTCCAAACTTTCCTTCATAAACCCTAGCAGTCCACTTCTGTCTCCCTCTCTTGGCCGCTTCTTCCTCAAATCCACCTTTTCTTTTCTTTCTGCTACTGTGATCTGCTTCCCAAAAAGTAGTTCTAATAACTTTGGGAGCTTCTTCATTCTTCGCTTCCAAATCCCCGCCTATATTCTTCCAATTTCACTTCTTCCTGCTGTTCTTGTTCAATCTCTGAGGAATCCGGTTGTTGTTTCCCCTCCTGTTGCTTGGAATCTAGCGCTGAAAAATGGTTATGGTAGAGAGTGAGGTCGCCGCCGACGACAACAAAGAGACCAATGGCCGCAAGTCTCCTTGGAAGACTACGGCTCTGGTCGATGGGAAGGAGATGGATGCTCCTGTAATGGGAGCTGACGTTTGGCCTGCACTCGCCGACGCGCAGCGGCCTAAAAATCTCGATGCTACTACTTCTGCTAAGTTTTCTGATTCAGGCGAGGTTTCTGATGAAGTAGCTCTTCAGTCTCCTCCTTCAGGAGCGCAGGTTAACTTCCTCCCTTAAATATCTTGCACTCACATACAATCACATGGTGTTTCAGCATACGACTTGGAAAATAGCGTTATTGAAAATTTCTGTGATGCAACTGTAACTGGCATTCTCTTTAACTTATTTAAAATTTTTATCCTCCCAATGTCAGCTAGTTAGCGAGTTTCATTTCTAGTTTGCAATGGGACTTTTGGATGTTCCTTTTAGGAGTTTGATTTTAGTTCAGTCGTCGCGGTGTTTTCGCTTCAATTGATTATGAGACGAGCTTATTTCGCAGATATCGGCTCGATACTTTGTGACTAATATGAAAGGTTTTCGATTTCGACTTCTGGGTTTGGGTATTCTCATGTTTTCCACCATTTTTCTCTCCCCTTCCACCACTCTTCTCGGGGAGTCTCTCAAATTTGATAAATATAATGCTACTTGACGGCGAATCATTTTCACGTGAAAATGATATCTATGGAGATGCCTAACCGATGATTGTCGAGCGAGGCTTTCAGCCTCTTTTCGGCTATATTCTTTCTTCCATAGTATTTACTTCAATTTATTTTTGTCTTCTTCCGGCCATTTTCTTCAGATCCCTTTATTCTGTCCATGTTCTTTAGATCATATGTATGATCCTGAAAAAAGCAGAAAATCTCAGCTAGTGTGGGTCATCAAAGTTCCCCAAGTCTCGACAATTTTTAAGAAACTAACATTTATTATGTTACTCCTATTGTAATTTTGAAATGACTCCAGTATGTTTCACTCGGGGAGAAAATTGGTTATCAGTATTTCATTGTCTTATGAATGTCTTGTACTATTGATCATGTGACATTCCCTGTTGCTCTAATTGTTGAAAGTCTTTTTTTATTTAAAAAATAATTATTATTACTCTGTGTGTTCTGAAAGATGTAAGGTTGGTATCCTTGTTTTAAACTGCATAATGAGAGCAGAGCAGAGTTATGACGATGTATGATTTGCTATTTAAAGAAGAAAAAGGAAATAAAGGAAAAGATGCTTGCTGTGTTAACCCTTTGGCGCTTGTTAATTAATTATATCCAATTTATTTTATTATTCCTTTTGAGTAAATTTAACTGGAGGGACATGATGCTTTCAACTAGGGAGGATATGCACAAAGGGCACCTGCCTCTCGGAACCCTAGTTATTCACACAAGAATATCCATTCACATCATCAAAAGCCAGGCTCCAAGCGCAACCCAAATGGTCCTCCACATGTTTCTGTTCCATTACCTTATCATCAACCACCAATGCCTCCACTTTTTCCGCCCATATTACATCCTCCTCATCTCGCTGTTCCTGGATATGCTTACCAGCCTCGACCTGTAGCTGGTGTTGAAGTACATATGGTTAAGCCTAGCAATGAGACATCAGTCCAAGCTTTTGTTCCACCTGTTGAGCCTCCGCCCCGAGGTGATCCAAGTGGTTATGTTGTTGGTATTCATAATAGAAGACCTAATATGCAAGATCCTGGTGTTCATTGGAACCATGCTTGGTATCATCAGAGGGGATTTAATCCAAGAGACAACATTTCCATGCAACATGGTGCTGGACCACGCCCTTTCATACGACCACAATTTTTTTCTCCAGCTCCTGGCTTCATGGTTGGTCCAAGTTTTCCTGGTAATTATGGCATCCTAATTACTTTGAGGTGTCTTGAGATATGTCATTCTAATCTTGATCTCCTTGCCCTTCTTTGTTCTCTAAGTATAAGAATCTGCCACAAATTTTAAACTGCTCTTAAGTTTAAATATGTGCTGTTATGTTGTTGCACTATAATAACATGAAATTCTCAATTGAATTTGTTCCCACCAAAGATTTCTATGTTATGCAGGACATGGACCTATGTATTATGTTCCGGTTCCACATCCTGATGCAATTGGGAGACCGCCTCATTTTATTCCACACCCTCTTAATCCAAGGGCTTCAATGCTTCCCCCAGATATGCTAGCTCTTCGGGCCAACATTGTAAAACAAATTGAGTATTATTTTAGGTAGGCCAACAATCAATCTAGGAAGTGAACATTTTTTTTTGTTCAACCCCCTATTTGTTGAGAAATTTGAGATTTTGATACTGCTTTACATCAGAATTTTTACTTGTTAGTATTAATCTTTTCATATATTCTATTTATTTATGTAGTGTTGAATGCTTCATTGCACCTGAGTTTCTTGGCAACTTTTGTACTCAATTTTCTTTTCTTCTTTGGATGTATATTTTTTTAATTACACTTGGATAAGTTTTTCATTTCTATTGACTGTAGCCACGATATTTATATTTTCATTTGGCCTTCGAATTCCAGTTGGAACATCTCTTTGTCAGCTCCCTTGCTGGTTGAGTATTACTCGTGTATTTGTTGCTTTCCACTTAAGGTGGAAAAATTTGCCTTCAACTTATCCTACATTTTCCTTATATCTTGGTTGCAGCGATGAAAATCTGAAGAACGATCATTACCTAATATCTTTGATGAATGACCATGGATGGGTTCCAATATCGGCCATTGCTGAATTCAAAAGGGTACATTTTAATATTTATTGAAGTGATTCAGAAAATGTAAATAACCCTTTTTTTCCCATCTAGAAGATCTGTTGATCTATGGTCACGATAGAATGGAGCACTGCTGTACTGATAGGTTCAAAAGTTGTACCATGCCAATATATTATGCTTAGTTATTTTGCATTTTAGATGTCATGTTCTATCAATTTGATGTCTTATTCTTTTTAGCACACATATATATCTTTTATGTGAAAATCCGATTCCAGGTTAAGAAAATGAGCACTGACATCCCGTTCATCCTTGATTCCCTGCACTCATCTGCAATTGTTGAAGTTCAGG